AGAGAGAGAGAGAGAGAGAGAGAGAGAGAGAGAGAGAGAGAGAGAGAGAGAAAGAAAGAAAGAGAGAGCAAGAATGAGAGAAAGAAGGAGGGGGAGAGAGCGAGAGTGAAAGAAAGAGAGAGAGAGAGAGAGAGAGCGAGAGCATAGTCGCGATGTTATGTTAAGACTTTTGCAACAGTTACAACCGTGAAAAGTGTATAGATGCGGGGGGAAACGATAATATCGATAGCGAGTACTATCGAGGAATGTTGTGTGATTGACGTAAAGCCGAGAAACTCGGCTACTTACGCCGACGTAATTGCGCGATTATATCGCTCAAAGGCGATACGAAAAATCGCCCTGTCGCGAGAGATAATCGTGAATAATTACGGGAACGAAGAATGGCGACTTGGATGTACGTGACCTTCCACAAGTAGATTTCGGCGGTCGTTGGGCATGCGTATGGGTGTTGCGTGTGCGTATTTGCGCGCCCGCGTGTGCGTGCTTGTTCGGTAAGCAACCGCTCTCTCGAAAAAACACCGATCGTGTCTGTACGCTCCCAGCTGGTGGCGTCTGATGAGAACGCCTGTCGAATTTTTCAATTACACGTATACTTCTCTTCTAATATCCTTGAGAAAGGAAGCTTTTGACGAATGCGTCGCAACCAGTCGACCGTTTGGTCGGTCCTTGTGCAAATTCAGGTGCGGTCCCGCATTGTCGATTAATATTTGAACGACTGGCTTATACTAGGTTAGTATTGAAAAAGTTTATCGCGATATAACGACGAGAGAGCGAGAGCGAGATATAGAGAGAGAGAGAGAGAGAGAGAGTGAGAGAGAGAGAGCGGGGGAGGTGGGGGTGAGGTGGGCAAGTGCGGCGGGAGGGAGAGGGGATCGCGTCGATAAGGCTGCAGATGTTATCCGCGAAATTCAAGGTCTCTCTATCTCCAACCAACGAACGTGGCCAACTAAACATTGGCCTAACTAAAAATACAACGACCTTGGTACGCCACTCACGTTCCTGCCACTCACTCTTCGCCGCGCGCGCGAATCATTAGATACATTAAGTTATATCTCGTCGGTTCGCGCAACGCGTCGTCGTCGTCGTCGTCGTCGTCGTCGTCGTCGTCGTCGTCGTCTCTTTCTTTCGTCCCGGCGAGAGTGATATAATCCTTTCTTTACGGGCTCTTTGTTAGTTTCGTAAGGAAGAAAGAGAGAAAATACCTCGTGACATCTCGCGGTGTTCGCGCTCACTATTGGCCCGACCGATACATCGATGCGACTGAATGTGGCTGAGGAATGTTTGCCCGTGTCCAGAGAAAACGGCTTTGTGCCAAATCGATATCTTGGATGACGTTTTGCGTCTCGTACGAGGGACATTATACGATAAAAAGTCTAAAAGCATTAATGTAACGTAACGTAATGCGTTAGCGAGTAAACTTAACACTAGCGATATCTAGTGCAGCAGATGCCATTCAAACGAGGCGATATGGGAACTGTTAATATCTCGTCTCCCTAGTGTTCCATTAAATCTACCGTTGGCCAATTGTCGTTGAGTTGAATTTTTAAGGAGCAATGTAACTTTTGTGCACGCGATGTGCCATCATTGTTGCGTGAACGTTAAATGCACGGAGGATTTTCAACATAGCGGAGCAACGACACGATCTTGTTTTGAACCGTTTGAAAAGTTAAACGCGATCTTTTCCCTCGCGACGTCTCTTACGTATTCTTTATCCCCATGGTTAAAAACGCTCATAGTCTTCGCGTCGCGTTCGTATATTTTCGAGAATCGCTCTGTATTCTAACGAATACGGCGACTTAACGAACTGCGTCTCCGTTGCGTGTAATTAGTTCCCATCTAATCCTATGTAACCATAAAATCAACTCTGCGTCTAACTGAGAGTTGCCTCGTTTCGCTGCAACTGCGCGACACTAATAACGATGACTTCTCGCGCGAGGAGAGATTTTTCTATCCAATTTACGCCGTCTTGTTATTTTATCATCAGATTACTTTGCCAGGTATCTTCTGTGCGAAATGCACAGAAGTTGCG